CCACCACATGAGTACACATGTTAATGTTATTGTCGTCGTCGTTGCTGCTACTGCGCTGCTTCTTGTTCCACCACCACCACCACCACCGCCGCCGCCGCCGCCACCCCCACCCCCACCCCCACCCCCACCACCGCCACCACCGCCACCACCGCCAGCGCCGCCAGCAGTACCAGCAGCACCACTCCCACCCCCACCATGGAGGCTGGCGCGACCACGAACACTACGAAAACTGATGTCCAGGGCAGGCCTAGGCACTTTACCAGCCCACACTGTTCACCTTCTGGGGTGTCTGCAGGGCAGATCATCCCCCACTGCGAAGGTTGCAGAGCTCGGGGGCCAGCCACTTTACGACTTTTCTCGAACTGGGATTTCACTCTCATCCTGAGTTGATTTCTGAATTTATCTCAACAAGAGCAATGGGCAAGAATGCTGAGAGTACCTCTCCAATAGCCATGACTGGGAGCGCCAAACATGTGGAAGCTGGAGTCTAACCCGTGCAATTTGCCAGAATGCCTGCCAACTTGTGCTGCTGAGCTTCATTGATCCAACACAAGACATGTAGGAGAATCTGGATAGAACCTGCCAGAATCTCGAATCAAGCTTCGCAAAGCTTAAGCTGAACGATCTGACCATGAAGTCAATGACGTGTCACTGCAATGCTCGCTGCACCTGCGACACGCCTGCCCGCTCAATGCGAAATCGCTTGATGTTCCAGTTTCCCGTTGATATTGAATTCGCCATTGCTCGTGTCAGCTTGGAGCGATCTTGCCACGAGTCTAGGATATCGGGATACCTTATGGGCTCCGCTCTGCACGGGATCCCAGGAAAACTGACAGATCTGAGTCGAAGCCTCAAGGATTCCAGGGTTGTACCCCTAAGGTGGTACCCTAAAAAGGTCTCCCAATGTCTCCCAAGATGGCCCCACTGTGGCCTTCCCATAAACCAATGTAATGCCCTAAGAGCCGCAGCCTTCCCTAAAGGATCTGAACACTCATTCGTACAACCTTAGAAGTGCAACCCTTGAAGCCCGCAGTAAGGCGCAGGGGGAGCTAAGGCGGCAGCGAAGACATGTCTTTCACACGAGCAGCCGCAGACTGATGCCACTTGGATAGGAGCAGGTCCGCTTGCTTCTGTAACTCCATGTTCATGAACTTGAACTGATCCTGGTCGATCGAGCCACTTATAATACTTGGAGGGTCTTGTGTGCAATTGCATGCGCGTCCTCGAAGAGCACTTCAATCAGCTGCCCCGACAGCTCCAAGCGCTTGTTGCCGTAGTAGTCCCCTCAGCGCACGAGCAGGTGTCAAATCAATTCCGTGCCGACTTTAGCCGCATGAATTTGCTTGATGTAAGTAAATTCTAATTCAATGTCCAAGTTCTTTGAGTGAAAGAGTTCGCTGGATTGGAATTGAAACTGTTGTTCTGCCCACATTAGCACCATCGCCTGTTGTTAGAACATGCTATAACCACGCATGCCGATTTGCAAGTGCTGCTTCTGTGTGGCCGAGAAACTATCATCCACCAACCTGTCGTCGTACATGGCATTGATCACACGGCGAATCATCAATCCAAAATAGCCTCAAGGCCATGGAGCAGACGTGACTGCAGAACTCCCATGAGAAGGGCAAGCGGCGAATCTTTGGTGCAAGGTTGTTGTTGGGGCATTCGATGTGTGACAGGACCTGGACCACATGAAGCCTCACACAATCCAGCTTGTCATAGACATGCTGAGTCCTGCCTGTCTGTGAATGAGGTCCATGGGATCTTGCTTCTGGCGGCGCTCTTGTCCTGGCAAGCTTTCACATGAAGGGCTAGGCTAGGCGAACCCATTTCAGATTGCAAGCCGGTGCAAGATATTCATTCCAACCCTTACAGGTTGAGCTGCCTGGCTTAACTTTGATCTTCATGGACAGGTACTCCAGAGCAGACTTTTGTGAGAATACGTTTTTCTCCTGCCAGTCACAGGTAGCTTAGTCTTGTTCAACATCTTCACCTTAACACTAAAGCTCGGCAAGCTTAAGTCGGCCAAGCTGCATGACATTCCTGCAGGGATATCATCAGCGTGTCCAGGTACTTGCGCTCAATGCCGACCATCTGAATGATCTCCATGTCGCTCTGAACGCCCATGGCCTGCTGCATGCGAAGACACAAACTGGTTGAGCCTGCTGCAACCAACGGTCCAAGTCCACGGCCTTCATCACAATGGAGATTGGGATTAGGTCAGAGAAGGCGGAGTTCTTCATGTACAGCCCTTTCTTCCGAGCCATCGGATTTGCCACGACAACCTCCAACGCTTTTACTTAGCGCCCGGGCTACGCACCTGCAACTCTGTGCGTGGCTCATGTCAAACACTTAGACAGGGGCTGTACGGCTTTTGGTGTCCTCGCCTCAGACTGCTGCTGATGCAGTTGGCTGCGCTTGCGAGGCACTATGAGAAGCCGCACTCTTGCGAGCCAGGGAACTCGAGGAGGTCACAAAAGCTTGTAGCAGCTTTTTGGAGTCATACTCCACAACGATGCGGTTCATGAGAGACTACGACAAGGTGGTTGACTATCGTGCTAGGGGTTGACTTACCATCTGCAGCTCAATGTCCAGGCCTGCTCCTGCATCATCAGCACCCTCTCCACGCCTTTCACGATGAAGTATCCTGCTGAGCGCCATTAAGGGACTTGAAATCACGAGTGGGTCACTCATGCTGCCGAGCTTGCAAGGCACGCCCCATCCTCCAGGATCCAATGGGCACTCCCCGAGAGCCACCACATCCTCTCATCAAGTCAACGGATACAGCTGGGCCTTTCCATCACGAGCCGTCGTACCCTGTTTAAGTTCAGGCTCACATCAACAATCAGCCGCAGCCAAGAAGCTTCGTCCGTCTTTGCGAGGCTCAGTGCGCAGAGGTTACTACGCAGCATCACTGGAAGCATTCCGATTTCCAGGTCGCGCTTGCGAACCTTTCGATCTCCTTTCCAATACACCACATCCACATAGATAGGTGCCGCATAAGTCAGGTCCCGGAGCCGGCACATGTGGGGATTGGTCTCCTCGCTTGACAGGCGGAGTAGGCAAAGCAAGTCACGCCAACTAAACAGATGACAGCTTCTGCTCCTGCACAATCATTTCCTCCGTCTTCGACGGCTTTCCCACGCGGATGGTTTCATACTGCAGGAACCAATTCTTGTCAGATTCACTTCTGACCATATTGTTGCTCGCTGCTTTCACAATCTGCTTCATTCTGACATTCCTCAGCTCGCCAGCCATTGCCCCAACTTACTGGTTCTTAGTAGGGAATAAGGGAATATAGTCCCTATATAATCCCTATTATCTTATCTTATATTTATGTATTCCCTACTAAGAACCAGTAAGCCAAGCAAGCTGAAGTGACAATAGTCAGGACTTCATTGAGTCAAGGTGAGGGCGGAGCTAATTTTGGACCTCCTTGTGCCTACGGGCCCCCTATAATGAGTTTAGGGGCCGGCCTGTTCAGGATCAGGGCAATGATTGGAAGGTCCCCTACAATGAGTCTCGATTTTGGGGGCTAAAAATACAGGAAGTATTCTCAACAATCCCTTCTAAATCAATCTACAGGGACCTCAGAACCGTGCGAGCTCAGGGGGGCCGTATTGAGGATCCCTAATTTCTATTTGTCGGAAGGTCCAACATTACTGGACTCTGGGTTTAGGGGGTTTAGGGTTGGTAATGTTTCACGCTATGACTTGCTGATCTTTGCTCTGCCAAGAGACACGAAGTGATTGTAAGAGTCCTGAGTTATCTTAATGTTGGGTCATCTCCGTATCCAGAGGATCTGACGGTGACATTGGCGTATATATCTCCTATATGGATAAGCAAAGAGCAGAGCTTAAAGCATGGCAACATTTTTTATGCCTCGCTCACTACAAACTGCTTCCAGTTCAGGGGATCCACCCGGGGTGTCAGTCAGTCAGTCAGTCAGTCAGTCAGTCAGTCATACGCCAGGGGGGGTCAGGCAGGTGTCAATGTGCTGCGTCACGAGGCCCTTGTACTCCAAAAATAGATCCACCAACCGCCATTTGTCTGCAATGGTCGCCGCCTGAGATGCTTGAACAAATTGCATGGCTGACTCATGTCTGCATGTTCCTATAAACCCTATAAACCCTATAAAAACATTAATCAATCTCTAAACCCTCTATTACCCCTAGATGCTGGCATCCTAAACACTTATAAAACCTGTGAACCCTAATTACTAAACCCATCTAATCTTATATTACCCCTAGAGGCCGGCCTGCTGTATCGCTTCAACTTCAGCAGCCTCTTCTCGCTTCTTCCGTTCCTTCGCAGGTCTTCAAACTCCATCAGCGATGACAAATGGATACCCCAGGTTTACGCTTGGGTATACAGTAAAGAATAGGGATGTCTGATTATTATTCTTAGCATAATAGTAAAGAGCTTGAATGTTTGCTTTGGTTCCGGATCTTGCACACGCCACTGAAAATCCAAATCGTTCATCGCTGCTGCGCGCAACAATCCCCAGTCCACAAGACTCCCACCGCAAACACACTGCTAACAGGATCCTAGAACATGGGTATCGAGTCTCCTGATCCCATGGCCATTCTTGTCTCCACCAGTTGCCTCAGAACGCTATGGACTGCAACGGCCTTTCTGCAGTACCTTCATTGCTTCCTCATCTGCGCGGAGTTGACAGGCTTGACTGAGGCTCGGGCCATGCTTCACCAGGGCCGGCGCTGGCATCCTATCTCCTGCGATCAGGAAAAACACTTCTGGTGCTTGAAAGGAATGAGATGTTACGTTTGTAGCTAACAGGGTCCCCGTTGCAAAGGGCGCCGGCTGAACGTGCCAGGGCATGGCGCAAGGGGTCGCCACGCAAAGGCCGGGACACCCTTGAGCCCTTGGCTGCCACATGCTGGCATGCAGAGTTGGTGCTTGCTAGCTCCTTGAGTGTTTCCTTGTGCGTTCAACTCTCCTATGTGCCAGACAGCACAAACAACAAGCAGCCCTGGGTGCTCCGTCTGCCGTTGCAGCTGTTCCAGTCGCTCACCTGGTATTGTGCACAGGAGAAAGAACAAACATCCTGCACGCAGCACCTGGCAACATTCACCAGACATCAATGAATCACAAACAAATCTGCCAGAAACCTTTCATTCATATGATGGCCATGCGTTCTGTGGCATGTGAACTCAGCTAGCAGCAGAGGGTCAGGTTCTTCTTGGGCGAAGAATCCTGTAGACTGTAGCCAACTCATGGCATTGCAACGTTCAACAGGGCAACAGGCTGGTGGCTTGCAGTGGCCAAGAGCTTTCCAGTCCTGATTTTCCGGAAAGCTTTTGGCAAAGTGCTCCAGCAACTCCTCTGTCGACCTCAGCTTTCCCATGTAATTCCATCTTAACTACATTACTCATGAATCATGAGTTTGCTCGCGCCCATGGCCGAAGCAGAAAGCGAGAGGATCCAGATTATGGGATTTGGGCAGGTCCTTTTCAGTCCGTCGCAAGTGCGGCTCTTTGGAGTCTAAAATTGAGACAATCCACTTTGGGGGGGGGTGGGGGTCCTTCAAGGGGGTATAAGGGGGCATGGGGCCTTAGTTTCAAGCTTTGGGGTCAGTGTTGCGGCTTGAGCTTGGCAGTTGCATGGTAGCCATGCGTGCTGCCGATGCTGAAGCGTGTCAGATGGGCCAAAGTACACTAGCTCTGGACAATGCGATTGAGTTGCTGAGCGATCCTGGCTCCTTGCTAGACAACAGCTTTAGCACTGGGGAGACACTTAGCTGAGATCGCAGTGCATGGTGCATCAGCCACATCTGGACACTAATGATGTCTTAAAAGTAAGACCTAAATCATCTCGCACAGCTCCGTTTGGAGGCTGAGTCGGGTCAGATGCCTGTCCGCCAGCTTGCACTCACACCCTGTTGGGTAAGCGTGACATAAGTAATATCCCAGGAATGTACTGTTTGCGTACACATCCCAAGCCCTGCCAGGGGGTCTGGGCATCTTGAACATGTCCATGTGATGTCCAGGCTTTAACTGGTCAGTACTGTAGTTGTCCTGTCGCTCAGTCGTCGTGGATGCAGTCCGCGCAGAACTTGTCAGTCAGGACCTTCAGCGAGTGTGCCTTCATCATGCACTTGTGCTCGCAATCTGCAAGGTAGCCCAGGCCAGAGCAAAGACCAGAGCAAAAATCCTCGGCGCTGCGGCACTCGTCGGCAGGAGTAGGGTTGGCCTCGGAGACCTTGCGCTGAAGCAGGGCCACCTCCTCATCCACCTTGCAGAACTCGCCAACACCGCACCAGTCCTTGCTGAAAGCCAGGAACTTCTCAGCATCGCTGGCGCAATGCTGAAGGCAGCGGTTTCTGTGGCTGTCTCCCAGGTAGGTGATGTTGCACATCTCGTCGCAGAGCTGCACCGTGCTGCATCCCTCCACAAATGGCTTGCGGCAGACGCAGTGAACATCGAAGAAGTGCTTGGCAGCGCATTTCACCTCTTCCTCTCTGTCATACTCGCAGCTGGTGCCAATTGCCGTGTTGTCCACCGCGTCCACGCAGACTGTATTCCTCGCCTCGCAGAACTCGTTGCAAGAGGCTTTCTTCCCGAGCACTGCATACACCACGCAGTTGCGGCCGTTGTCTTCGAGCTCCTCAACAAGGGGCCCCTCCGTGCAGAACTTCTCCCCTGGGTTGGTGAAGGGAAGCAAGGCGTCGCAGCCGGGGGTGGTGGTCGTTGTGGTCTGGGTGCAGATGCAGTGGAGGTCCTGGTAGCCGGTGCTGTAGCAGCCGACCTCTTCCTCCTTGTCGTAGAAGCCTTCGCAGCCGCTGCCGATCTTGGTGTTGTCGACGGCATCCACGCATGTTGCGCCCTTGCCCTCGCACCACTCCGCGCAGGTGCTCTTCTTGCGAAGTCGCGCAAGGGCCACACAGTTCTTGCCGCCATCCTGCAACTCCTTGGTGAATTCACCCTCTTTGCACTCCTTCTCAGCCTTCCCAGTCAAAGGGTATAGGTATTCGCAGTCAGGCTCCTCGACCTCGACTTCGCAGATGCAGTGCAAGTCATAGTAGTTGCTGGTCTCGCAATCCACAGGGCTTTCGAAGTTGTACTCACAAGGCCGCCTCACGCGGACGTCATCGACGACCTTCTTACAGGTGGCGCCCTGCTCCTTGCAGAACTCCTTGCAGCTCTTCTTGTTCTCGAGGACGCTGTACACGACGCAGTGCGTGCTCGGATCCAAGTCCCCCAAGACAGCCGCAGTGCCCTTGCAAATCTCCGAAGACTCGGGCAGAGGCTCCAGAACGTCGCAGTGCCCGTCACCTCGCACGGTGAGTGCGGAGGCTGCAAAGGCGAGAAGGATCTTGGAAAATGTCATCTTCGGTTCGGTGTGCCGCGGTTTTTTTCCGCGCTGTCTTTGTGGACAAAATGTCTTGAGCCGCAGATGTTTGCCGTTCAAGCTTCAGTTTCGGTACGGTTCTCAAACTTACCGGCCGTAGTCTGGAGGTTCTAATAACGCAGAGTTGAAGATTATTGTGATGGAGACTGCATGGCTGCACTATCCCGGGAGCGCATAAGAGAAAATCCGCATGTTGCAAAAATACTCCATCCTCCCTAGGAAGAAGCCTTCGGGCCGAGCGAGCCCACGTCATGGAACAACACTGAGGCCACCACGTTCCAGTTGGGAGGCTGCTGCGCCTGCACTCAAGCTCCAACGCGGATTTAAAGCCTTCAAGCCAACTTGATGACAGGACGTTCAGCGCATCTCCATGCGAGCTAAAGTCTAAAGTCCTTAAAGGTGGTTATATAGGGGATTATATGGGGAGTATTCTAGGCCCTGGGGTTATTAAATGGTATCCTCTGAGTTTAGACTAGAGCTCATATTTTGGTAACTGGTATGCCCTGGGCCTGTGGGACTGGATGGTGACAGAGGCGCCAGGCTTGAAAAGCATCACCTGGCCGTGCTGAGGAACCAAGTCGCTTAGCTCAAGCTTCAACATCCTAATAATAGTAATATTACTAATAATGAGTCTAGTAATACAAAAAAAGTTGTAATAATTGAAATTTCAATAAAATGGGAACAAAACGAATATCAATAATAGAGTAATAGCAATAGTAATAATAATAGTAATAATAATAGCAATAATAGTGATACTATAGTAATAATGATAGCAATAAGCATACTAGTAGCATTAAAAATGGTAAGAACAATGATAATACTCTCGGTACTAAAAATTCTGCATGACCTTACTACTTACTATGCTATAACACCGTAATTCCCAAGGTGCAAGGTACTTAGTGACTTAGTGTCATGCAGGATTTTTAGTATCCAAGGTAATAGTGATACTCCTACTAATAGTCATAGTCAAAATTAGTCAAAATACTGCAATTAATAATAGTACTAATAATAGTACTCATAATAAGAATACTTATGATAATAGTGAAGAATAAGGCAAGGATCTTGGGCACATAGCTATAGAAGCGCGCGGGACTGTACAGGCAGTTCTTTTGCCAACAAATTCTTCTCGAAAGTCCCACCTCTGGCGCGCGGTGCGCCGAGGTCTGAATCTCGGCCGCCTTTGGGCTCCCCATGGCGCCCACGGCCCTTCCCCGCTACCGCACACCCTGCATCATTCTCAGCCACAAAGGGGCTTGGTAGCAAAGGCTTGAGCGCATGTGAGTGACTCTTGTGAAGGGGGATGTGCGACACCATGAAATCTCAAGTCCAAGGCTGATTTTTACGCGACAACGGCACGCAGTCGCTATTGCCTGCTTCATGCACATCTTTGGGCATCAATACAACTCCAGGCCAGCAAGTATTCAGACGTCGCCCGTCTGAATCTTCACACATAATCACTTATCTCAGACCTGAGCTCTGTGAGGAAGGGACAAATTGGAAACTACTACACTGGGTTATATAGGGACTACAAGGATCCGTTCCTTCATTCCTAGCCAACCAAAGGCCAGTTTATGGTGTTGATAGCGACACAGCACTTCTCCACTGAGCACACAGCAACTTTGCACCTGGAACTTCGGTCAGGGTCGCAGTGCCATCTTTGATGTATGCTCTGACCTGGGTCGGATTCCAATCTAGCTGTTTAGCTTGGCCTACCATCTTGTTGGCACACAGAAAGCTTAAAGTAACAATTGCTATCACTATGTGTACTTTTAGTATTGATATTATTGCTCATATTTCTTTTAACATTTCCAAGTTGAAAATAGAAGAAACTATCTCTATCTCTCGGCTCCCGGACCGTAAATGGGGTTCCACCGCCTTGGCAGGAGATTTCAATCTGTGTCTCTACCTTTCCATCCTTGCGAAAGTAAAAATAATGATGACAATGTTAACAATGACGGTAACAACCAGAGGCACTATAATACAAATTCTAATTTCAGTGATAATGAAATAATACAAGCAATAAGAAATATGCAATAATAATGATAGCAGCGGTAGTGAAGAGGAAGGCAGCGATTTCATTTCAAGGCACTGTTCTCCCACAAGCAACATGGGCCGCGGGCCTTCCATGCAGGTTGCATAGACCTGGCATTTCAAAATCGACTCAATTGTGGAGGTGTGCCCCAAGAGTCCAAGTGTTCACCGTGCAGCTCACAGAATCTGTAATGGGGGATAGTGATGAAGGGACGGGATAGAGCGAAGTTTTGGCCATAGGGAATCATAACAAAGTATGGTTAGGAGCGGAATGCTTTGAACTGGAAGCCCCAGACACAAAAAATAGAGATGAAGGGGAGAAGAGAAGAAAGCTAGCGACTAGGCCAGTCTCTAAGCAACCAAAATTCTGCCTTTGGAATTAATGCAGGACCCAACCCCCTCAAACAACTTTCCCAAACTTGTTGTTTTAGAGAGGGTGGGTTAAGAATCAGAACCCTCCATTACTTGAGAAATGACTCTTCGTGCCTGCCTGCCAGAATCCTAAAGTGGGGTGGCCTTCCACACACCGTGGCCTCCACGAAGCTCGATCTCCCCGCTGAGCTGAGCAGGCATCCGAATGATCAAAGTCTCTGTTCCAACCGAGTGCTCGCTCCCACAGCAGCTCTGCAAGATTGTGTGCCTCTCGATTCTTGCCCTCCTTGAAGACATGTTTTGCTAGCTGCTACAGCACTGTTGTGATTTTGGAACCCCTAGCTGTGATGCTTCAAAAAGTCCTTCTTGAGCTCAGCTCTTCCATCAGGACCTGCGCGTGTGTGCGCGTGTGAGCGTGGGTGAGCGTGTAGAAGTCAAGAACCAGGCATGCCAGCCTACCACCAGCAGCATAACTCGCGGGTAGCTCGTGTCCTTTTCCCGTCGCACCACAGATGCGAGCACAAGTAGATAGATAGATAGATAGATAGATAGATAAATAGATGCATACATACATACATGCATACATACATAGAGACTTTGCGCTAATACAGTGCAAGATCATGCCAGGCATGTTGTAGTCTGCAACGGAGCGAAAAAGCCACATTGCCGCCTAAGGCACTACACTCCAAACTGCTGGCAAAAGCCAAGCATGTCAGGTGCTAGGCTGGGGCATGTCCTTGTAGTTGAGGCCGTCCTGCTTGCCTCAATCAGGGCACGGGGTTTGCGATAACCTGCGCAAGCCTGGATCCTGACCAGGACTTGAAAGGCGATTGCAGTAGCTTTCTGACGCGAGGCTATAAGTTACAAGAGTGATACCTATCGCAAAAGCAAGAATTTGTCAGAGGGAAACTAGCTTCTAGAATTGCATCCAAACTGCGCTTGTAGTAGCGACGCTGACGGTGTGCCAGTGGCTGAATCAGCATCACCTAGCAGGATCCAACGACGAGCGACACACCATTGTTGAGGTCCCACTTCCGAGTTGCACACCACTGCTGTCCTCAAGCAAACAGGACTGGACAGATCCTTTAAATCTTCTGCATTGAACCGATGCTGCATTGAGGCACAAGCATTGTGTCCTTGCAAGAGGTCAATGTCTCACTACAATAACGGGCTGCCACTTAACAAAAACAACCTCAACGAAGACGTCCTTGGCGTCTTGTTTTTCCGTGCTGTCCAAGTCAAATCGCGAGATGGGACCTGAGCGTGAGGCGTTTTGAGGCCACTGGCTGGCATAGCATGGCAGTAGGCCCAGGCGAGCATCTAATTTGACATAGTTGCCAGGGAAGAAGCCTGAGTTTTCTTGATAAGAGTAGTATGATTAACAATGTTTGTAATACTAACTGTAAGGTTACTAATAACTGTAATATCTATAATGTATAACCATAGTAAAATAGACAGAATAATGATAGCTGGTGCAGGAGACAGCCTGGACTCTAAGGCTTGCACCTGAAAAGCCCGTGGATCCTCGCACAGACCCAGACCTGCACCAAGCCATCTACATTGATCATATAGTAGTTTCCATTTTCTTTTCCATTACCCTATACCACAGTAAACTATATTATACTACAATATACCATAATATACTACATGGACTCCTTGATTGCGTCACAAGCATCAGAATGCTTGTGCTGCCCTTGGAAACCATTGTACTTGTATCTCCTCCTCCTCATCATCATCAATGTGGTCATATATCTTCATACATCATCGTCATCATCATCATCATCATCATCACATATCATCACCATCATCAGCAGCAGCATTATGCAAGCGAAGATTTGCAAATAGCAAGCGCCGCATTTGACGTCTCAGCCCAATGCCACCATCCAGGCGCAATACGCGCCACATGGACTTGGTCGCCTGCGCGATATAGGTGCATGGAGACCACATCCCGGCACTGCTTTACCCTTAATTAAATGGTGTAGTCATGAAGGGGCACCTCCCTCGTCATGCTCATCAACACCCCAAGACATAGAACTCAGAGTTCTGGCAGCTGGCGACAACAGCCCTGCAGCAAGGACTCAAAGCAGCTGCACAGCTCGCCTTTTGAGAAGCCGATTTCATCTGATGCCCTAGCCTGACCGGCCGATAGCGAATGCCTAAACGCCCAGAAAAGCATTGCATGACCAGAAGGCGCCTTGTATGTCCACATGGCCGTAGCCTGCGGTTGCATGCGTTGATTGGACACTCAACATGAGCATTATCCCAGAATCCGAATTAATATTGAGTGGAAGTGCCCCGGAAGAACTGCAGCAGAGCCTAGACAGGGAAGCCGTTCAACTTCAAAGCACAAACTAGCCACAAAGACTGAAGGAAGAAAGCAGGATATTTTGCTCTAGTCAAGTTGTTGCTGCACGGACCTGCTCACAATGCATGAAGTCTGACAATGTTGTGAGTCAAGCTTTTGTTCCAAGACTGCATAGGCAGCCTGCATCTTACCCGTCTGGAAGTAGGAGTACTGTGACAGTTGCTTCCACCTCGGCAGCGCTTTCTCGTAAACTGCTTTATCGTGCATGCACAGTGCTTTCTGCAACCCGAAGCTTTCCAATCCGACACGGGCGCTAAGCCCGCCGCTTGCATCCGAACGGACGCGAGTAGTGAACCCCTCCCGATGTTGCAAGGAAGTCCTCACTGGTAGGAGAACAGCAAAGCCACTCTTCGAAAACTGTGGCTTACCAATCTGCGCGTCTAGAATCTAGAAACCCTCGGACAGGCTTTCTTCTTTGTGCCATAGCTGGCCCTGCTAGTTGGTGAAGCACGCCAGCTACTCAGCCCAACGGAGCGTGGAGCTTTGAAGGAGGCCTTTGGCCAGCAAGGAACCGATACATTGCTGCCGCACAGCGGTCAGCAGGGTGCACTCCCTGAAATCCAGCGTCACCTCCCCCAAATTTGGACCGAACGCTGCGGTGAGCGCAGCGAATCCTTCCGAGCCCACGAGACAGCTTCGCATGTCAAGGGCCAGCTTAACCAGGGACTTCGGCAGCGAAGCTGCAAGGCATAGAAGGCAGTCGCCTGGTGCTCTGCAGCCCACCCGAGTCCCACAACACACATCAGCGACTAAGCTGCAAAGCGTGAAGCTTAATGCACCTTAAACATGCTGAGTAAAGAAGTTGAGCGACTCTGCGTTGCCACATAGGCCAAACCCAACTCCAGTTGGCTCAGTCTTTTGGGCAATGACCGGGCTATCGCACGCACACCTCCTTGGTCTCTCTTCATGGCCACACATAATCCTGGACCTAATACTTCCGCAAATGAACAGGAAGGAGGCTGAAACATGAGCCAATCAGTGCAACGATACAAGCAACATCGCTTTAGTAATGCTCCCTCGGCGCTGAGAATACACACAAACAGGACGGTCTGCAATCGTCGGATTCAGACATGACGTGGCAGTTCGGCCCCATTGCTTTAACAGAAGCGTTTAGCTCCAAAGAATGGAATTGCTTGTTTTCGAATTATTATGATTGCATGCTCCTGTGCTTAGCCTGAGGAGGATGGTCTGGTGCTGGGTTGACCTTCATCCCCACCTTCCATTGGCTTTCTTGTACTTCCTTCAGCATGGCTGGAACATGCTGGAACCACACTTCTTGCGCGGATGGCCTATCATGAGATGATGCTGTCCGTCTGACATTCCACAGTGTCACTGTTAGGCTTAGGTTTGCCGGCCTCGCGGATTTTGGAATCCTTCCCTTCGGGGCAATACGTGCTGAGCCCGGCAGCCCGGGTGTGGGGAAGGTGGGGCGGAAGGGGGGGTGTTTGCACCGCAAAGAGACAGCGAGACAGAGAGAGAGGGAGAGAGAAAGAGAAAGAGAGAGAGGATAAATAAACATACGAGTGCTTTCTGTCTTCTAGCTGCTCTTCAGCCTGCATTGGTGAAGACTGCTGCTGTGGCTGTCTCTACCACTTGCCAAGCCCACAACCCGTTGCGCAAGCGTGCAGTAAGGAATATTCCTGCCGAGCAAGGGGCGATCTGCTATGTCTGTGGCACCCAGCTGCAGGCTTAGGCGTGAGAGTCGCGGTGGCAATTTGCTGGCCAAGATCTCCGCCTGGCAAATTGGGATTAGACGAGACAGTCGACATGCCTCATTGTGCACAGCCACGAAACATTGCAGCAAAGCCACACCAGAATCGCCTATGGCGCAGCTGCCCAAGTCCAGCTTCAAGCGCGAAAGCCGCGGGGGCAGATGATCTGCCAACGCAGCCACGCCATCCTTGAAAGACTCAGGGTCACTGATCAAATGCTCACACTCAAATTGAGGAGGTTGCATCGCCAAATTGTTTCACTCCCTGAGGCAAGGGTCTGCAGTAATGCCACAGAGGCAGAAGCAGAGTTCCAAGGTTGTGAGTGTCTGTGGCAAGCGCTGGGCCAGCTTGGCCATGTCGCATCCTGTAAGCTGTGCAGAGGCTGCTTCTCAACAAACCTTTGGGGTTATATTGGGATAATGGAAAAGAAAATGGAAACTACTGTAGTACATTGGATGACGACCATGACTGGCTTCACCATTTTCAACCGACCAATGATGATTTTACACGTGGTTCGACTTGTCCCAGCCTAGCCGGCAACCACGAAGCTCCAGGCGAAAGCATGCAAGGTGCTTCAGGCTCACGAGCAGCTCAGAAATGTTCTCCTGGGGCACTGACGAATGCAGAGGCTGTTTTAGCATTTCATATTGGAGCAGTTGTAAGGCAAGATCTGCCAGAGACCTCAAGGCCAGGATGCTCCGCGAGTCCTTGCGTCCAGGGTCTCAGCCAGCCCAGACCTCGTCGCTCCAACCTTCAATCGGAGCTTGGACAGCCTGCAGTAAGATTCATCTCTGTAGAACAGTAGACAGGGGATTAGCCTCAGGCACATGTGTGGGCGAGGCTCCAGACATTTGCATGAAAGCAGCCCACTGCTGAAGGCCACATAGGGCGGTGGGTTGTAAGTTGTCAAACTGATTGAGCAAAAACCTGTTCAGTTCTCTGCCCTGTGTTGCTACAAGATTGCAACCCCTACCAGTTTCAGCCCGCTGTCCTGCAGTTTTGGACAGCTGCGCAGATCTATGCAGAATCTCTTCAATGTGGAAGGCAGACTCTGACCGAGGGCCTTCACCTCCATGTCACCCATATCTGTATGATCCAAATGTAGGTCAAGCTCACGCAGTGTCATCTGGCGCAGTCTCTGTGCCAATGCAGGCATGCCGGCAGCCATATCCTCAGCTGACAATGCCGCGAGTGTGTCTGATTAGGTGCCTTCACATCCTGTCTATGCTGAACCGAGGTGCTGTTGAGCCGAGGTCCAGGACAAGCTTCACCAGCCCAACCGGGAGACTCTCGAACAAAGTGATTAGGTCATCGGAAAGCCTTCTGGAGCCAGAATTGCAAGGAGGGAAACATGCATTTCGAGAATGAGCTGCCTTTTTTGAGGGGATCACTAGGATGAGGATTAAAAACTTTGGGGGTGTGACGGAAACCAGCCTGTGGCACATCCCGAAGCACAGCTCCAACTGCGCCAGGCCCGTCAGCCTCCAGACAAGAGCCAGCTTCCAGTGTGGCTAGGATAGGCGAAGCAGACGGGTGATACCGGCAACTACCTGCAAGATGAACAGCTTCAGACAAGATGAATCTGGCAGAGCGTCTGGGAGAGATCTGAAATCGTCCGGGGAGTCAAGGCACAGAGGCCGCTGTGCCAGAAATCTAGGCGAAGGACCTCCAGAGTCACAGGCAGCGACGACAAGATCGCCTCCAGACCTGCAGGGCGGAGGGAGGCTCGAGAAGCATCCAGAAGCCTAATTACCAGCCATGGCAAGATGTACGTAGAATGTAGACGTGCAGTAAACGAGCACAGCAAAAATGGCAATATAGACACTGCTCGGAACCAACCACCTTGAGAATAGCTTTCCCGAAACGCGCGGAACCATTGCACAAAATTCCCGCCTGTAGAAGTCATGTGGCACCCACCGAGTCCCAACTCAAAGTTTAGCAGGCTGATTGGCAAGCGCCAATCCCAATCCTTGAGAAACTCCTCGGCTGCATCAAGCAACAAGTTCGGCAAGCACCATGATGATCGCTCTTCCGTGTGATTGCGCCAAGCAAGCTGATCTAAGCTTCATCTGCTCCCGAGCAGTCAGAGAATTCCAGGCTGAGCCTGATATCTCCAGGGCAAGTTCACTTCAAATCATGCAAAGCACCAGTCATCCTCATCTTGTGGGCCCAGTTGCTGAACCAAGCTTGACGGTAGGCTCTCAAGAAGCAGGCGGAGCCCAGCTACAGGGAGAGGCCGTCCGCGAAAGTCCTGACTCAAATATTGTAGATAATGGAAAAGAAAATGGAAACTACTATATTGGGGTTATATAGGGTATATATTGGGGCTATATAGAGTATATATTGTGACGTCAAAGCGGCATGCGGCTCATGACTACGGCACACACATTGTCAAAAGAGTCCATCTCAAGTCGCCGTAAAGACGCTGGCAATGACTGGCCCAGCCAAAAGCAAACCTGTCACTGTCAGATTGCGCATCTGCGGGCAAGTAGATCCCAAAAAGCCGACGTAGAAAATGCATGTGCTCTCAAGACGAGCATAACACTCAGTGCTTGCCACAGCACACACCCCAGGCATTGCCAACTCTGGCCGCAATCGACTATTATAATCTCTGGCCAGGACACACCGGCTTCCACAGACATGCTTCCCGGCAAGGCCAGGCGCAAGTCCTGACGCAGATGCTCTTTCTGTGCCAAGATTGCGTTTGATTTTACTGTACCTGATTCCATCTGCAATCAAACCCCAAACTTCTTGAGCCTCACAACGTGAAGGCTCTGGACTTGACAGAGCTCCTCTATCTTTGGAGGCATCTGCGCTGCCAGGGCAGAAAGGAAAGCAGTCAGATCCACTCCGCCCCACCTGGTTTCTCAAAACATGCTGATCGAGGCCGGCTTTGCAAAGATGTTCATGAGTGATGGGCTGTTTGTGCCGAGGGGCGTAATCTCGAAGGCGTGTATTGTAGAAGGCAGAGCCTGCGCCAGACACCTTGGTTGAAATCTGATCCAGCCACCTCGACAAACAGTCAACTACAAGCTTCCCGACCACAAGGACAATCAAATCATCCCCTCCCCGACATCTGTCTCAGGATGAAGTGCTCAGCGCCAGCGGCCGCACAGGAGAGCTCCAGGCGCAAAGCACGCAGTGACTGCTTCAACCGGGCGGCCAGGCTCCTGGTGCGTTGCACTCACAACAGCGTGAACTCCTACTGGTAGGTGTGATGGAGTACTCGAGCTTAGTCATCCTTGCAATGGTGCCTAAAAAGTCTTCAACGCAAGACACAGAATACGAGATTTTAAAAGAGCTCGACATAGCCGCACAGCAGCCGCACAGCAAGATGTGCGAAGTTTTTGAGTCTCTGCAAGCTTGCAAGCGGACCATTCTGTCCTGAGGCCCAGGACAGAGATTCCAGTGGCATGCAAGTTCAAGTCCAAGTGAGTGAGCCCTTGCGGAAGTTTGGATGCGATGGCCTCCACTGCGAACAAAATTTAAAATCTTCGGCTCTCAGCTGCAGATGCTTTGGATCCCTACATCTGGCCAAGAGGGGTCATGTGTAACATGTAAAGACCAAGCTGCTTGCAGACCCTTGTCGTAGCAGCGACAGAAGCTC